GTGTGTGTGTGTGTGTGTGTGTGTGTGTGTGTGTGTGTGTGTGTGTGTGAGAGATCAGAAGTTGATTTCTCTGTAGTAGTCAGATTGTTGACACACTTAGGTATAAAAACACATTTTTCCCCCACAGTGTTTTGCAATTACATTCAAGAAATAAAAATACATTTTACTAATATTAAAAAGGGGTAATATGTCAAAGTAAAAAGTAAAACCATTTTGATTTACATGTCAAAACCTGGTTCAGTCCTGATTTACACCTAGTTTAAACCTGGTTTGAGCTACTACTTAAGAAGAATTTGATAGTTTTATTAAGAAAAAAAATACTACTTTCACCACTGATCATTTTTAAAATATGAATAAAAAGTCTCCTGAATGATCCAAACTAACCTGAGACAGATGGACAGGCGCTCATCAGCTGAAATCGAGCGCCTGTAGTTGGTGTCCTGGTGAGTGATGCGGGCACCGATGCAGGTCAGCAGCTCATCAAACTGGGCTCGGGTGAGAGGAAAATAGCGCTGAAAGCGACCCTCGTCAGCGCGCAGCTCCTGGAGTAGGTGGTGAAACTCACCAAACTCAGAACGCCTCTGAATTATCTGGTGAATCCAAACACGGCGCCGAGGCGCTCTCCGACGACGGGCTCTTGTTCTGAGTAAACAAAGCCAACCCACTCTCTCAATTTCATCCGCCATTGTTCGTACAAAGACCGGCAGAGAGGCTCCTCCCTTCTTGACGGGCGATTCGCACGTCTAGCATAAATAGCAAGCATCTGACCTCACAGTGGTCAAGCGACCAACTTGAAGCGTTGAACGGGATTTTGAAGCTGAAATCGCATTTGGTGTGAACGCAGCATAAGCTTTTTTGAAGTCGTGGACCTAAATATTTTCATAAGCACTTTAAAAATTGCGAAGCTAATTTTATGATTAGCGTTGCCCACCACTGGATATGTGGAATATTTGTTTTTATTTATTTACCGTTATTTTACCAGGCAAGTCCCATTGAGATCTCAGATCTCTTTTTCAAGGGTGGCCTGGGCCTGAAGGCAACATATTGTACATGTTTTTATGGGATGGGGCAAACCGGAGTACACCCACGCAAGCACGAGGAGAACATGCAAACTCCGCACAGAAAGACCCAATGTCTGAACCAGGACTTTCTTGCTGTGGGGGATCGGTGCTAACCACTGAGCCATCGTGCTGCCAATAAAAGAATAAAAGCTACTTTGAATGTAAATGTAAAAGTGAGTGTGCCCGTTTTTAACAATAGAGTGTGTTTGTGACATAAAAATGCTAACAATCAACTCAATTATAAAAAAGTTTGATTGGACCCCTCAAAAGTTACTTAAGGCCCAATTTATTTTAAAAAATCCCCTTTTCAGTCATTTATTGGTACCCTAACTTGAGCAGGTTTTTTTTAGGTTTCCCACAGGAGTTGAATTTCAACATTTTAATACGTGATATAATACACCTTTAAAACATTTTGGTAAAGAAATTGTTCGATAATTTATTTTGTAGATTTTCATGTTTCCCTTACTAGTTATAGGAATTGTTTGATTGCAGTCAGTGCCTCAAAAGGTTGTGCAACAAAATATTAAATTAAGGGTCCCATCATTTGTCCAGGTCTGTTTCATGAGGGGGTTTATAAATTCTGTTGAAGCATGACTAAAAAGCAATGTCTGATTTTTATTTGTTCATTTTCACAGAATTTTTAATTTATTTAAATTTATTTATCTTTTGTCAGATTCTAGTTATTTCTGAGACCACTGTGGGTTTTTTCTTTCATTAAACGAGGGGTACCAACAATTTTGTCCACGTGTAGATGTTTTGGCAGTGAAGCAGTAAACTTGACAAAAACATAAATGATGTGAATATAGTTATAATTGTTCATGCTGTTTGTTTTCAGTGCTTCCTGCAGATGTTCAGCAGTTGGTGTTGATTCCAGAAGAGGCTACTGAAGAATGGAGGCCTGGTGTGGACCAGCAGGATCCAGAACCCCTCCACATAAAGGAGGAGGAGGAGGAGGAGGAACTCTGCACCAGTCTGAAGGAAGAGCAGCTCAGTGTGAAAGAGGAGACTGATGCCACCAGGTTTCCCTCCAATGCTGTTCCTTTACAGAGTGGTGATGATGATGAAGAGAAACCTCTGTTGTCACAGCTTCAGCAGCACAAAGTAAAAGACCATGATCTGCCAACCAGCAGCTCAGCTGTCCAGAAGGAAGCAGCGACTGAGGGAGGAGACTGTGTAGCAACAGAAACTAAAAGGGACCAAGATCTGAATACTGATGGTGATTTAGACTCTTCAGAGACTGAAGTCAGTGATGATGATGATGATGATGATGATGATGATGATGATGATGATGATGATGATGGGAACAATCCTAATTTTCAGCTAAAATATAAACCAGATTCTGGGTCAAAAACTGAAAACAGTTACAAAGGCTGGAAGAAGAGCAGACTTCATAAGTCAAGTTCAAACAACAAATCTTCGATCTGCTCTGAGTGTGGGAAGATGTTTGTCAACAACTATTCTCTTCAGAGACACATTAGGCTTCACACAGGACAGAAACCATTTGCATGTGATATTTGTGAACAAAGATTTAGGAGCAAATCAAATTTAAATTCACACATGAAGATCCACACAGGAGTGAAACCATTTGTTTGTGATGTTTGTGAACACAGATTCAGACACAAAACAAATTTAAACACACACATTAGGCTTCACACAGGAAAGAAACCATTTGTTTGTGATATTTGTGAACAAAGGTTTATCTATTAAACAAATTTGATTACACACATGAAGATCCACACAGGAGAGAAACCATTTGTTTGTGGTGTTTGTAAACAAAGATTTAGCCATAAATCAACTTTAAACAAACACATCATGATCCACAGCAGAATCAAAGCAGTGCTTTGCAATGACTCCTACCTAAAACACACATGAGAAGCTCCACAGACTGTAGAGCAGTTTTGATAATGTGCTGAAGACACATTTTACACACAACAGAATTCAAAGGTTTCAGAGTTTGTTGGTAATAGTGAGTACAGCAGACACACTGTATGTTATCAAAACTGCAGTAGTTGTACTTGTGGTAAAATACATGTAAATTTTTCAGGTTTTCTTTGTTTTGTTTTTGCTATAACTAGTCTTTGTGTTTAAATTTTTGCATGCTTTGTTTTTAAGCACATTTCTCAAACTGCACCACAAACCTGTAGTTTCACAGGTCTTGGTTTTACTGAATGATTACAAACAGCACTGTTAAACATTTATTGTTGCAAAGTTTAAAAGAAAAAAAATTAAAAACGTTTTTGTCGAAAAGGTTTGGACAAAAGGTCTGTGTCAGTGTAGACAGAATGTACATCAGGGCCCGTATTTACCAAACGTTTTAGAATTACTCTTAAGAATGCAGTTAAGAATGGACTTAAATGTAAAAAATATTCTTAGCTAAAAGTTGGGCCTAAAATCAGTTAGAAGCATCTGTCTCACTTTTAATCTAGACTAAGACTAAATTTTGTCAGTTTCAGTCAAAGGCTATGCTCACACTGCAGGCAAATGCAACCCAAATCCGATTTTTTTAATTTTTTTGCCCTGTGTGACCCATATCTTTTTTGACAGTCTGAATGTGACAAATCCATTTTTATCCCCAAATCCGACCCAGGTTATTTCAGTATACCAGTGGTTCCCAACAGTTTGACTTTTGTACCCACTGGGCCATTTTGTCATATCACTAGTGCCCCCTCAGTCAAATGTAATGATGATTTTCCAAAACTATGTACAACTACAAATTTATTTAACCCCCTAGAATATTTAATTCTCAGGCATTTTATTTTTTCAACTCAAATTAAACTTAAAGATGAAAAAGTTGACTTGGAAGTGAATAAGTAATTAAATAAACCAAATAATGGCAGGTGCAGGAAGCAGCAGCATCCAAAATCTATTTTATTTTCCAAAACATGTCAGTAACTCAAATTCTGAGAATCCACGTTTTATACAGGATTCCATTTTGTGTTAATTCTGTGATTCCATCTGCAATTTCCACACTGCGGAAATCATAGGGCCCTACATGACAAACTCAGAATAGTCAGGCAATGAGTGGAACTGGTTAACCAAAACACAGGAGGCAGAAAAAAGGTAAGAGATTTTATTTATAAGTGCTGGGAGAAAATGTACAAGTCTGGATCTGAAAAAGGGGAAGAGTTCAGGTGAGTCTTCAATGAGGACAGGATCATGAATGATAAATATCTTAATGTAAATGAAAATTCTTTCTTACAGGTTCTTGAAGAATAAGTTGGCTTTGAGGTGAGGTTTCCTTTGAGAGGTTCAAAAGTTTCTTCAGGCAGAGTGGCATAAACAATCCTCCTTGGTTCCTTTAGATGGTTTCCTGGGCAGACCAAAAACTTCAGACGATTCAAAGACAGAGGTCTCCTTAAAGAGCAAAAAACATTCAGGTTAGCAAAGATAACTTTTAAACTTTCAATAACTATAATGGCTTGAGCACTACCAAAATGGTGTTATGCATCAGCGAGGACTTGTCCGTCTGGAGTCACTTTTAAAGCCCAGGCTGTCATCAGGCAGATTGCACGCAGGTGGTGCAATTAGGAGCAGGAACCAAGCAGAAAGTGAACAGCAAAAACCTCCAATCATCACAGTACAAATCTCAGTCTTATTTTTATTTCTATTTTTACAAACCTGGGAAATTTTTCCACGTACTCCCTGTAATATGGTTGTGTACCCCAAAGGGTACACCTACCCCTGGTTGGGAGTCACTGCAGTTTCTGAATAGAGGTGGGCAGATCGATACTAAGTATCGATAATATCAATACCAGCACTGGTATTGATATTGAACAATACTCGTGTAAAAAGATCGATACTCAAGCTTTGTTCTTTCTCGCACACACAGATTTTTCAAAGTCCACTCTCTGTCTGTAGAGCTGCACTGTGTCACACAGCACGCAGCAGCAACACCTCTACCACTCAGCATTTTTCCTAAAAACAATTTTATTTAACAAAAGAAACAAAGAAAGAACTAGGAAAGATGTCTAGTGGTGAGGGAAGAATTTTTATTTAATTTTTGTATAAAAGATTTATTTTCCTAATGTTAAAGGAAACTGGTTTGTTACTGCTTTATTGTTGGCAAGCAAAAATATTGAGTTATAATAAAGTATTTTGTTGTCACATACAATGTTTGGCAAAATACTATCCTAGAGCTTTTGGATCTTTTCAAATTATGAAGCTTTAAAAGTATTGATATCGGCGATACTGGCCCTGTATTTACTTGGTATCAGATCGATACCAAAATTCCCAGTATCGCCCACCTCTAGCGCGTTGTTATCAAACAGATCTGTCCAACGTTGCATCAGTGACTAAACTCTCTCCTCCTGAGAAACGGGAACGTGCCTCAGTGCACGCCAGGCTGTGAGTCTCTGTGAGATTCACTGTTCCAGTTCTTCTAAACCATCTTACCTCTAACAGAAGAACGTTTATTTGCCCCATATCAAAGCAAAGATGGGTCTCTGTTTAACGTCACCCCCCCCCCATCCAAAAAAATAAAAACTTGTCATGTTCTCTAGGTGAATGAGTTTTAAATGTTATTTTAATTTATTAGAAAGATCCACAAATTTCATTCTTCACAATTCTATGATAACAACAAGGTTCTTGATGTGCTAAACTTGTTTATATTTAGAATCATAATGACAGCTGCTCTGGGATGAATTAAATGATAAAATATTAAGACTAAATAATTTTAAATGATTACATGAGCTGAAACTATCTAAATATAATAATATTTTTGAATAAAATAGTCTTTAAAAAAGAAACCAGCCTAACAAATAAAACATTTGTTCTGTGCAGAAGACAGATATTTGCTGGTTGGACTGGAAAGTGTGGAAAGGTGGTTTAAACAAGGCCAAACTACAGGAGCTGTACATCTCAGGGTCATGTGTAATAAAGCCCATCAGCCACTTAGGTAGTTTACAAAATGTATGCAGAGTAAAAAACAAAATAAAAACTCTGATTTGGTGTGATGTCCTGAGACATTGCCAGCTGATAGAAGGCGTCATAAAACAGCACAGGGTGATAATAAATGCCTGACTATCAGGATTTAACAAGAGTCAACGTGAGCAAATACCAAGAACAACTCAGGAGACCAAAACTTGAATAATAATAAGTGGTTTGTTTATTTACACAGGGAGAGGGAAGTGAGGAGCGGGACCTGGAAGCAGAGGAGTTGCAGAGGTAAGTATCAGGTATCCAGGAATTGATGTTCAATAGGTYATTYTTTATGCTTYCGGGTGAGGGCTTTGGGRTTAACACAGGAGAGGAGGTCCAGGGTCCAAGAATCCAAAGGTGATATTTACAAGTGAGTGTTGTATTTACAGGTGATTGAGGAGGRGAAGAGGCAGCGCATGGAACAGGTGAGAGGCTCGGCAGGCAGGCAGACGTGACTGGGATCCAGAACAGTTCCAGGGTGATTTTCTTAATTTCAAAAGCGGTTTGATGCTTCAGCGATGAGTTGATCCTTCAGTCTTCCTTTTAAAGCCAGCAGTGATGAGCCAGTTCCCATGCAGGTGCGTCCAATC